AAAAAAAATTAAAAAAAAAGGAAGACACCATCCCCTCCCAACTGAGCTAGCTTCCTGATTGCTCTCCCTGTGACCAGCATCAATGGATCTAGATGATTAAATCAGGCTTTTTTTTTTCAGATCAATACTATTTTATATGAACAGATGTTACTCCAGGGCTTTAAAGTCTTTACTGGCTCCAACCAGGACAAAGTATTTAGGCAAGACTCTCCAAATCTGACCTGGCTCCATAGATCCACAATATCTACTTTCCAGACCCGTGATACTCTAGCCATACCTACTGATCATGATTCTGGAATACAAGATTTTCCCCAAGCTGTTGAATCCTGAAATTCCCTTTTCCCTACACTTTGCCCACATAGTACAAAGTATGTTGAACATTTCTGGTGCCATTTCCTCCCAAACCCTCTCTGCCTTGCAAAATGGAGATGGCTACTTCCTGCTGTGAGCAAAATTATACCTTCTATAGGTTTTGAATGTTGCTCCAATCATAAGGCGTTATTTTGACATGGTGCCTATAGATGGCAGGCCTTGGTGTTTATTGGCTGAATGAATGAATGCTGAAAGGAAACAGCACAAATCATTCCTGTCTCTCATTTTTTTTTCTTTCATGAGTATGTCCGAACATTCTCCAAATGTGTGCCCAGCAGCTTCTTCTTCATTCTCTCTCTCCTTGCTTCCCAGCCCTGTCTCCACCTGTCTTCCCCCCTCCTCCAACCAAAGTCTCAAATAAGCCTTCTAGTATGCTGGCTCACCTGGGTTTATTCAGCCCCATGACAAAAGCCTCTAGAATCTTGAGAACATCATTGGGGTGAATTAGCTCAGATGAAATGGAGGTCTGCCTTTCTTTGTCTTGGTCCTCTCCTTCTGCTGGTGCGGACGCCTCCCATGCTGAGGGGCCCTGCCCTGAAGACTCCTGTCCTGAAGACTCCTGCCCTGAAGACTCCTGCCCTGAAGGCTCCTGATCTGAGGACTCTAGCTCTGGGAGCTCAAGCTTCAATTTGGGCAGGAATTTTTTCTTGCTCCATGCAGATGTCAGGCTCGATCTCGCCAGGCTCGATCTCTCCAGCGCTAACATCAAGCTTGTTCTCTCCGTTGTCATCAGGCTCGATCTCTCAATCGTCATCAGGCTTGATCTCTCCAGTGCTGACATCAAGCTCGGTCTCTCCAATGCTGACAGAAAGCTTGATCGATCCATTTTTGTCTGATCTCCAAGGCTTCCCTAGAGAAAGGTGCAAGAGTAACGATTGGTGGGGGATATACAAGCAGGATTGCAAAAAGATGAATAGGAATAATGCTAACAGAAGACTCTCAGAGGAAGACATTCCACAAGCAGAGAGAGGAGAAAGATGGGAAAGGATGGATTGTTGGGAAAGGCACATGGGGCTTAGAGACAAGGACAGTGTTTGATGTCTAAATCTGCGTGTGTATCAATATTCATAGACCATATAAATATCGAATTCTGCTTTCATTTTTAAATTTAAATTTTAAAATTTAAAATTTAGATTCACGCAGTTTATGTTCCACAATCAAACGTGTTATCAAGCTTCTTCTCCTTACACAGAAATAGTATAAGGTAAGATCTTGCTATGCAGCCTGAGCTGGACTCAAACTCATGATCCCTTTGCCTCAGCCTCCCAATTGTTGGGATTAAAGGTGTGCACATTTAGCTAAGAAGTAGCAGGTCTACATAAACTATACTTACTACTCATGTTTTTAACTAAATATTTTCACCTATGTCATTCCATACTTTGCTTTTCCTTTCATAGACCAAAAAAACTTTACAGGCTTTTTTCCATATAAATATATAAAGTATATAAAGAACTTTGTTGTTGTTTGTGTTTTGTTTTTCATATTGCATAATATCCCATTGTGGAGAAGTACCCCCCTTTTTTTTGCCAGTCCTGGGGCTTGAACTCAGGGCCTGGACACTATCCTTGAGCTTCTTTTTGCTCAAAGCTAGTGCTCCACCACTTGAGCCACACCACCACCTCCAGCTTTATCTGTGTATGTAGTACTGAGGAATCAAACCCAGGGCTTCATGCATGCTAGGCAAGCACTCCACCACTAAGCCACATTCCGAGCCCAGCACCATTTATTATTAAATAGATTCGTCAATCACAGATACTTAGGCTGCTTCTAGTCTCCTGCTATTTCAAAAATTGTTTCAACTGTACTGAGCAGGATCTACAGAAAAAAATAAGAGTTGCAGAGTAAAGTGCAGTTTTGCAATGAATAGTGTCAAATTGTCCTCACTGGAGGTGACAGTGACTTACACTCCTATCAACAAGTTATGAATGTATCCATTTGCAACACATTAGTCACCACTATATATCACCAAATGTTTAGCTTTTTGCCAACTTGTCTGGCATAAAAAAAATAGAATCAGACAGTTTACATGTATCTTTTTACAAGAAACCCTACTTATTTTTTGTACGTTTTATATGTTTAAAAGTTAACTGTGGTGTCCCTTCTAGGTGATAGTCTCTTGGATTTTCAGTCTTTTCTCTTGTTGGTTTATAAGAAAACTAGCCAAGCTGGGTGCTAGTGGTTTACTCCTGTAATCCTAACTACTCAACCTGTAATCTTAACTACTCAGGAGGCTGAGATCTGAGGACTGCAGTTCAAAGCTTGCCCAGGTAGAAAAGTCCCCGGGAGACTCTTATCTCCAATTAACCACTCAAAAACCAGAAGTGGTACTGTGGCTCAAAGTGGTAGAAGCACTAGCGTTGAGCAAAATAGCTCAACAACAGCGCCCAGGCCCTGAGTTCAAGCCTCATGATGGACAAAAAAAAAAAGAAAAAGAAAACTAGCTTTAGTGTTACTCACTAGACACTATGTTGAAAATGTATTATACAACTTAGGGATGGGGATGGTAGGGAAAAACTGGGAGAGAGCAAGGGAAGGGGTGACATTGTCCAAAAAGAAATGTCCTCATTACCTACTTACATAACTGTAACTCCTCCGTTCATCACCTTCATAAAAACAATTTTAATTTTTTTTAAAGAAAAAGAAAACCAGTCTTGAACTGTGTTGTTCTCCAGTTGTCATTCGCATTTTAACTCAGCTTGTAGTGATTTCTGCCTTACAGAATTTACTCTAATATAAAATACATCATTTTTTTTACCCATTTTGTCAGCTTAGTCCATTCCTTCTATCAGGATACTCACCCTAGAGCTATTTAACACATAAGACTAAAATCATTTTAATTCAATTTTTAATTAATTTTTGCAATTTTAAAATAAAATGACTTTTCCAGAATATTTCTTTGATGCTCACATTGAAATTAGTTAAAATAAAGATGGGCAGAAAGGGTAGAAGCATGGCTCAAGTGAAAAAGTATCACCTAAACAAGTAAACCAGGCAAGAATGGGAACTTGAGGTCAAAACTCAGGACAAAGAAAGAGAAAGAGAGAGAAGGAGAGAGGGAGGGAGGAATGGAGGGAAGGTAGGAAGGAAGAAAAAAAAAGAAACAACTGCAGCCTAGTATGAACGATCCCTGCTTTCAAAGTGTTAAGGATCAAAATCTACAGATCACGGTGGGCCAGATCTCACGGTGGCTGAGGCCTTACTTTGAGGAAGGCCTGAGGATTAGAAAAGATCCCTTAGGCCTCAGTAGAACAAAAGCATCTCACATCAGACCCCAGCCATTCTTCCTTTCGCAAACAGAAAAACTAGTACTAGTTATGCATACCTCCTACCCACAAGTTTCCCCCTGAGAGTATTACTCAAAGGCAGCAATGCCCTCTGGGGTTTGGGGAGAAGTAGAAATGGTCCTTCCAGCTGCAGCCCAGCTCACCTGGCTGGGCGATAACTGATGAGCCCGGTACTTAAGGAAGAAGTTCACCAGTTTATACAAGTCATCCTCACTTTCGATTCCAAGAGCCTGCGAGGAGAAAAACCAGAATGGATACTCAAACACAGCAACCAAGAGTCCACAGAGCCACAGACTTCGGGATGCTGCTGGAGTCTTAGCTCCTCCGAGCATGAGGCTCAGCTTTTCTCCTCAGCATCCCTGGCTGGAGCCTATAACCCAGTGCCCAAGGGGCACTGGTCAGAACAAGGAAACTACAGTGAAATGGCAGGGGTGGGGAGGGGGGCGGTGAACAGAACAGAGAAACAAAGCTGAGTCAGGAGCGGCTCCATACAGATCCAGCAGGCAAAGGAGTGCTAAGGAGAACTGAACCCATAGCTGAGTTTGAGGTGCAGGGGATAACAATGAGGAGAAGAGGTAGTAGAAGAAGGGTCAGGGGTGGGAGACATCAGAAGCTGACGCCAGTCTGGTAGGTGGAGGCTGTGACAGTGAGCTCGGGACAGCTCTGGACACTGTGGTCTGGTCTGAGGGCTGAGGCAATGTCAGGAAGACTGAGGGGCAGGCTTTTTCCCCACCCCGGGTCCTTTCCACCCAGGAGACTCACAGAGAAGATGGCATCCAGCCTCAGCAGATAGCATTCACTTCGCTCCAGGGGAAGCAGCAGGCTCAGCAGCTTGCTCTCTATGAGGAAGCCCTGAGGAGAAGGAAGATGGCGGCCCCCGTTAGGGACAGGTCTCAGGAGCCTTTGAGTGTGACTCTCCAGGGGCGAGCCACAGAGCAGAACCCCCCGGGATGGGACTGTGGGCAGGGGAGTCCTAGGGAAAGGGCATCTTAAGGAGTCTAAGAGCCAGTCCCTGGGGACAGAGCCATTCTTCATCGTGGATTTAGATGGCCCTCTACCTCAAGCAAACATTTGAGTCTACATAGCAGTGGAAACCAGACCCAGGGGAGTGACCTTCCCCCGAATTCCCCAGTGGCTACAGAACCCAGCAGTAAGTAGGCCCTGAGGAGAGGAGAGGGCTCATGGGAAGGAGTACGCGTGATGTGGATAGGGGACAGAGGACAAGATGAGTACGTGCTCTAGGCTGGACAAGCTGAGAAGGGCCTCACCGAGGGGTGGTCATAGCAGAACCGCCCCCCCCCAGCCCCACGGCACCACAGAAAGCGGCCTTGTCTGTTTCAAGAGAACTGGGGGTGTCAGGTCTGCTCTTTACCCACCTCAGTACCTGGACACAAATCAACAACTCAGCTTCCAACTGAGCCAGCTCCTTGAAGTCCTAACACACACCTAATGTCCAAAGCTGAACTGGGGAGAATCAATACAAGCCGACTCCTTCCAGAGAAAGGTCTCATTGCTGTCGCCATGACACTTGGCCAAGGGTTCATGGATGTGAGCATGGGGCTCAGAATGCCCTTTGTTTGAGGTGGCAGGACCTAGCAGCGCACCTGGTAACTGACCCGCTATAGGAAGAGCCACTGCTGACCAGGCCTCTCTGTGCACTTCCTCCCAGACCCAAAGCAAAGGCTGCTCCACTACTCAGGCCCCCTCTCTGGGCACAGCCAGAAAACTTCAGCTCCTCACTGCAGTCCACCCAGGGCCCGGCAGAGGCCTCGGACATCACCCCGCTGCTGCCCTCACCGACTCATCACACAGAAGCGTCAGGATCTTTCTGGTAGTTTGTGGTGAAATTTGCTTGGGAAGATCCATGTAAGTTTCCATTCCTGGGACTGCTTCTTCATTCCCTTCCTCTTCTAAAGATAAGAGAGAGAGAGAGAGAGAGAGAGAGAGAGAATCATTTCTAGACTGTTAACTTTGAGAGGCAGATTGAGCTTCCTTTTCTATGTACTTCCGAAGCCTCCCTGAGGAAGCTGGGTGCTGAAGCAAGTCTCTCTGGGATGTGGGGACTGAAAGTTTGAGGACTGGAATCAGAATCTGTCTGGACAACTTGGACAACTTGTCCATTCCCAACCAGTCCAAAAGACTCACTTTCCCAAATTTTGTCTAGCTGGAGGCCTCATACTCCAATCCAGCCAGGAGCTAAGTGTGCATACCATGCATGCACCTGGCTTTGGACCCTGTGGAGGTTACAAGTAGCCAGGGCAGAGTAGCTGCCTCCTAATGGGGCATTGTCAGCAAGAACTGAGTTCATCATAGCAAAACCCAAGAATTTTCTTAAATAAAATTAAAAATTATAGCCAGGTAATGCTGGTTCACACCTGTAATCCTAGCTCCTCAGGAAGCTGAGACTGAGGATTGTAGTTTGAAGCCAACCCAGGCAGACATATCTGAAAGACTCTTATCATCAATTAACAAGCAAAAAGCTAGAAGTGAAGATGTGGCTCAAATGGTAGAGTAGAAAAGCCAAGTGAGAGTATGAGGCCTGAGTTCAAGCTCCAGTACAAATGCAAATAAATTAATTAAATAAAATTATTCAACTGATGACCAGCAGAAGTCCACTTAAATAACTTATGGTTTAACCACATAATATAATGTCATACAAAAACAAATGACATATATTTATTATAAGAGAAATATCTCTAAGAATATTGTTAGCAAAATAAGTTAAATGTTACCTAAAAATTGATATATGTTTACATATATAGTCTAGTTATATAGTATATTATAGCATGTTATTATATCTATATAATTGTAAAGCAGCAGAATGATAAATCATAATTTTTTACTTCTTTGGGTGTACATGGGTTGGAACTCAGAGCCTCACACTTGCTAGGCAGGTGCTTCACCGCTTGAACCATGCCTCTACTCTACTATAACTTTCTGTAGGGGAGGAATAAGTCACAAGTCTTTGAATATATCTGGTTTTGTACACTTGACTTTGGAAATGTGTAAATATTTTACATAGTTATAAAGGAAAATCAAATTGTAATGATCTAATCATTGAAACAAGAAGCCCACATGTGTATGAAGTTGGTGACACTAACTACACAGAAACTGAAATACAGCAGTCAGCCTCTGCGTTCTGAGTGGGAGCTAATAGAAGAACAACAACAAAAAAAAAAGAAAGAAAGAAAAAGAAAAAGCCAGGCACTGGTGGCTCCCAACTGTAATCCCAATTAGTCCAGATCTGAGGATCAAAGTTGAAAGTCCATGGACTCTTATATCCAATTAGCTACCAAATATCTGGAAGTGGATCTGTGGCTCAAGTGGTAGAGGGCCAGCCTTGAGTGAAAAAGCTCAGAGACATAACCCAGGCCCGATCAAGCCCCAATGCCACAAAATGAATGAATGAATGAATTAGTGACTTTATCTGGGTAGAGGGGAGGGAGTGGATGCTTCCTCTGAGGTTGTTCTGTGGTTCTGTGGAGAAGCAGATGAAAAGTTATTTTGGAATCACTGGTGCCAGATTTCGCATGTTGAGAAAAAACAGCTACATTTTGATAAGGTGAAGGGAAAATCTTGGTATCTTGTTCATTAGCAAACATTAGAAAAAAATCCCCTGTGTGCTAATTCTGTGACTCTGCTCCAAGCACCTGTTTGCATCAGCACCTCCTCTACTATCTGCGTGGCTGACTTCTGCTGCTGCTGGGAAAGCGGGCCCACGTTCTTCAGGAACCAGTAATCAGGTGCCGTCCATGGGAGCCCCAGATGCTGGGTGCTGATGACCATGTCGACGTTAAAGGCTTTGGCCACTATGGCCTTCACCTCCTCTTCATTCATCAGCCAAACTTCGCGAAACTTCTCTTCATCAATAAGAGCAAAGTGCCTGTGAACGAGAGCCACCAAGCATGGCCAGCTGACTTCTTGTCCTGGCAGCAGGATAAGAATGTGAGGCAGAGCCATGGGAAATGCTGCACAGCTGATCCCACCGAGCATAAAATGGAGCCATCCCAACAAGGGACAAGAAACACCAGGTGACACCCCTCAGTAGATGAATGGATCAAGAAAATGTGGTATATATACGCAATGGAATTCTATGCCTCCATCAGAAAGAATGACATTGCCCCATTTGTTAGGAAATGGAAAGACTTGGAAAAAATTATATTAAGTGAAGTAAGCCAAGCCCAAAGAAACATAGGTCCCATGGTTTCCCTTATTTGCAATAACTAGTATATGGCTAAGTCAAGCAGAAAAGGTCAGATAAGGTGATGTTAGGGAAATGAACCCTAAGATATGTATTCAAATGTTTTTTTTCTTTCATGCAATTGTTTCTAACACATTTATAAGATTATTTCTTTGTTGCTTTGTATGTCCCTCCCCCACGGTATAACCCCTGCTTTCACTGTATTTATGTTGGTATAATTTGTGGAGGGGAAGGGAAAAAACAAATCATTTAAATAGGGATACAGGAGGACCCATTGCAACAATGAGACATACAAGTTGTTATGGCGAAAACGAACTTTACAACCTTGGTGTGGGGGGAGGAGGGTTGGGTGAGGGGGTGGGGAGAGGATAGGATGAGAAGGGGAAACAAAGGAGGAGGCTACAATGCTTGATAAGAAATGTACTCATTATCTTGCCCATGTAATTGTAACCTCTCTGTACAGTATTTTCACAATAAAAAAAATCAAATATAAAAAAAAAGAAACAACAGGTGACAGAGGAACATAGTGCAAAGGAGTCTTCTGTGCCCTGAGCTAGCTAGATAACCTGGTTATCTCAGATCGAATGAAACCAATGCTACCATGCTACTACAAAATTTCCTTCTCCCCCACCCCTGTCCTCTCTACCCTAAAATTACCTCATGGCTTTCTGTAGGTCTTTGAACTGTATCACCAGTCGTTGGTAATCAGAGGTCAGATTCTGATTCTCCTCATGAAACATCTTTATCTGCTTGGCATATTTTGACCTCAGGTTGTTAAGTATATCATGCAGCCTAGGTAAAGGGGAAATAAGCGAAGCCACAGATGAATGGAAAGAGTAAAGAACATCGCTCTTATCCACCTGACTTAGCTCTACTACAAACTCTGAGTTAGTAGTAGAAGGGCAGCAAACCCTCCCACATATTCCAGATCCTGTGATGAAGGAAAGGAAAACATAGCAACTGGACTCTCCAGAACAGCACAGGCCCACCAAGAGCCCGTCAGCTGCTCAAGCATTCAAGTGAGAGCCAAGTATGGTACCACATGCCTGTAACTCTGGTTACTTGGGAGGTGAAAGTAGGAGGGTCATGGTCTAAGCCTGGCCAAGGCAAAAGTGAGAGACCCTATCTGAAGAAAAATAGGACTGGCATATAAGGTTCAAAGGGTAGAGTGCTTGCCTAGTAAGCATGTATTGAGTGGCCCTGAGTTCAACCTCCAGTACCAAAAAAAAAAAAAAGCACGGGGTTTAATGTCCCTCACACACCCATCTGTCAAGGTGCTCAAATCTGGGTCCATTCACATGCTTAAATCATCTATCGTGATCGTCTCATTGTCATGATTTAGATGCTACTTTCAATTCTGAAAAAAGTCAATTATTATAACTATATATCAGAAGCCTATGATATATGAAGCTTCCATCCTCAAACAGCTGATGCTCCTAATAGGTCCTGTATCTCATTCATTCATTCATTCACTCACGCATACACATACTCATTTATCTAACACAAAGGACTCGTTTAAGCCAAGGAAATGTTCAAATACAAAGATGAAGAGAAGGATATGTTTGAAAAAAAGATAGCAGTCTAGTCAAAGACTACTATGAATGACAGTGAAGAGTAATAAGCGCCATGGAGACTTCACCTGGAAGGAAAAGCCACCAGCTCCCAGCTTACACCTGGGTTCATGAGACTGGGTCTTGACCCCCTGCAAGCCTGGATAAATTAGATGTGCCATCTACCATCTTAGCTAGATATTCCAGAAAAATCCAGCAAGAAAAAAGTAGAACCATCTAAGGAAACAATTTAAGGGGGAAAAATTTAAGAAAATAAATTAAGAAAGCAGAGACAATTTAGAATCATTAAAACCAAAAGAGGTCTGGGGATCAGTGATTCACACCTGCAATCCTAGCTACTCAGGAAGCTGAGATCTGATGATCAGGATTCAAAGCCAGCCAGGGCAGGAAACTCCATAAGACTTTAAAAAAAAATTTATTGTCAAGGTGGTTTTTCTCCCACTTTCCCTCACCCCCATCCATAAGACTTATCTCCAATTAACCACCAAAAAGCCTGAAGTGGGATTGTGACTCAAGTGGCAGAGCATTAGCTTTGAGAAAGCTCAGGGACAGGGCCCAAAGCTCTGAGTGCAAGCCCTAGTACCAACTCCTCCCCCTCCCTCCTACTCTCTCCCTCTCCTCCTCTCCCTCTCCTCCCTCCCTCTTTCCCTCCCTTCCCCCCCCCAAAGGAGGAGGTCCAGTATCCAACACTAACAGGATAAGGCCTGGGGAGAAGCCATGTGTTTGGCCAGAAGAGCATCACTGATTTCCTACCTTGGAGTGCTCCTGCCGACTCTGGGTAGTGAGTTACAGCGGTTTAAAAGTGGGCATCTGAAATGCACACTCCAGTGGGACAGTATGAAGAGAGGTAGCCTTTCAGGGGTGACGAAGCCATAAAGACTCCTTCCTTGTACATGGGGGTCAGGCACCGATAAAAGAGGTGTTCCACAGCTGCCAGCTTGCAGTGTGCCAGGGGTTTGATCTTGGACTTCCAGCCTGAGAACTGTCTTTACAAATGACCATGCATCTTGTTCTAATAGCACAAAAGGTCCAAGACAAACGTCCAATTATGAGATACTTATGGAGGTGGGGGTGGTCAGAAAGGCAGGTGGTAGTGAGAGCTGCTCCTGGAGAGAAGCAGCAGGGCAGCTGAAGGTTCTGGAAGCCATGGTGCATCCAGGTAAGACAGGGCAGTGAGATGGTGCCCTTCCTCTCTCTCTGGCCTGTGCTCAGGCCTCACAGGGCTTCACTTTCGTTCCACCTACACCTATCTCGCAGTGTCTCTTTGGCCAAATGATAGCAGCAAAATTCTAGTTCCTTCCTCCTGTGTTTGCTCCTGCAGTTTCACCACCGAGTTGCCCAGCTGGTTCTCTTCATTTCTTTTGCCAACCTGTGTTCTACCCATTTCACTGTTGGGCATTTGTAAGGAGTTTCCCCATGTAACTCCTCCTCACTGTTCTGATTTGTGTCGCTGAGACATCCTTGGTCTTATAGCAAATAAACAGTGGGATTCCCTTCCCCCCTACTTACTCTCATTTCTCAGATCAGCCAAACCAATTTTTCATTATCGTTTTGTTTTGTGAGGAGCTATCAACAGGTCCACTGGCCCGGCACAAGTGGCACACACCTGTAATCCTAGCTACTCAGATCTCAGCTATTGGGAAAATCAACTGGTGTTTACATAGCCAACATTTGTCCAAAATCTAAAACCAGTCTACCAATGGGAGAATGATTAAATAATACCAGGTGATTTGGGATGGAAGAGAAAACTCTCAATCATGTCACCTTTTCACAAGATAACTTCTACCTGGATCCTTATACGACTTTGGAGAAATTCTTCCTTGCTCCACGTTCCTTCTCCTCCCCCATCTGGTGTCTGTCTGTCGGTCCATTTGTGTGTCTTTGTGTTTCTGTCGGTCTGTCTGTGTGCTGGCACTGGATTTGAGCTCAGGGCCTCATGTTCTTGCTTAGCTTCTTTTTTTTTTTGGGTCCGGTCGTGGGGCCTGAACTCTGGGCCTGGGCGCTGTCCCTCAGCTCTTCAGCTCAAGGCTAGCACTCTACCACTTGAGCCACAGCGCCACTTCCAGCTTTTTTCTTTTTGCTTATGTGGTGCTAAGGAATCGAACCCAGGGCCTCATGCATGCAAGGCAAGTGCTCTACCACTGAGCCACCTTCCCAGCCCCTAAGGATGATTTTTTTTTTGGTAGGTCGTGGGGCTTGAACTCTGGGCCTGGGCGCTGTCCCTCAGCTCTTCAGCTCAAGGCTAGCACTCTACCACTTGAGCCACAGCGCCACTTCCAGCCTCATGCATGCAAGGCAAGTGCTCTACCACTGAGCCACCTTCCCAGCCCCTTGTTTAGCTTTTTTGCCCAACTCCACTTCTGACTTTCTGATGTCTAAATTGGAAACAGGAATCTCTGCCACTAGGGCCTGGTTCCGTAAAACGTTGTAAGAGGAGCTGCTATATTTTCAATGAGTTTCTGCTCCTCAAGAATGAACGATACTTACATATCCCTGTTCTCCATACAGAAGAGTCTAGAAGAAAGATGTACTGCAGTGACTTACCGATTGATTTTCCTCTTCTGCTGAGATTTAATCACTGTGCTCTCCTCGTCTCTCTTCTTCAGCACCTGGAAGTTGTACTCTAACTTCTCTTGATTTAGCTGATAAGTTGCTTTCATCTGCTGAAGCTGTTGCTCAAGAATCTAAAAATAAAAAGTTAAACAACAACAGGAACTGGAGATGTAGCTCAAGTAGTAGAGTACCAACCTGAAGTGAAAAAGCCAACCAAGCCAGAGCAAAAGGCCCTGAGGTGAAGCCCGAGAAGGGGCGCACGCGCGCGCGCGCACACACACACACACACACACACACACACACACACACACACACACAGTGGTAACCTTTAAGGCCTATAATCCTAGCTACCCAGAGGGCTGAGATCTGAAGATCGTAGTTCGAAGCCAGCCTAGACAAAAAAAACTCCTTGAGACCTTTATCTCAAATTAACCAATAAAAGGCCTGAAGATGAGCTATGACTCAAGAGGTAAAGTGTCAACTTTGAGCGAAAAATCCCAGTGAAAGCCCAAGGCTCTAAGTTCAAGCACTCATACCAGCACACTCAAAAAAGGCCTTGGTGTAATTTTTTCAACTTGAGGGGGAGGTCCACAATAGTTTGTTCTAGTCATGCCAGAGAAACCTAGGTCCTTTTTAATTTTTTTTGGAGGGAGATTGAGTGCTAGGGATTAAATCCACAGTATTTTACATACTAGATAAACTTTTCACCACTGAGTTATGTCCCCAGACCCAACTAACTGCCTCTACTTGGCTTCTTAGAAATCCTGTCAGTGAGGGCTAGAAGGTGATTCAGTGGTAGAGTGCTTGCCTTGCATGCATAAGGCCCTGGGTTCGATTCCTCAGCACCACATAAGCAGAAAAAGCCAGAAGTGACTCTGTGGCTCAAGTGGTAGAGCACTATCCTTGTACTGAAGAGCTCAGGGACAGCACCCTGGCCCAGAGTTCAGGCCCCATGACAGACAAAAACAAACAAACAAACAGAAATCCTGTCAGGGGAGGCAAATTAAAGAACAATCAGATAAAATACAAATCAATCAACTGCAATCTGCATACTCAAGGCCTGAGAGAGCACACTGGGAGAGCTTGCAAGCATGTGGAACCCTGAGGCTTTGTACCAGCCCCTCTAGAGACAGACGCAGCTCCTCTAAAGACCCCATTAAACACTGCCACCACGCTCAAAATCTTCCCATCTGGTCTTCTAGAATGTTAAGCAACCTTTGTTTGTTTGTCTACTTAAAAGTAAAACAGACATCCTTTTCAATTTCCATCAGCAAGCTTCATTCAACATTTGGATGTCAAATACACACGCGACATTTTTCTAATTGCTGCTAGAAAACACTAGCAAAAGAGTCATGGTCCCGCCCCATCTGGCACAGACAGCCAAGAAAGCACCAATGAGAAGTGAGGAAGCAGATGTTGGCCAGGGTGTCGTGGGACCATTCTGATGAGCACTTGAGGGACTAAGGAAGGCATCCTTGAGCAGATGCATTCGCATATCTGCCTATGACCTGGAGAATGAGTAGGCTCTGGAGAAAAGAGTGGGGGGGCAGGGTGTTGGGGGAAATGCCAGCAGTGAGGAATGTGAGGCAAGGATGGCCCCAAAGGAGGGCACCAGGCAGCAGAGTCTTATCAAGCTCAGAATTTACAATACTGGCCGGAAGTCAGGAGTGTCCCTAAAGATGCTAAGCAGGAACTAAGCACTCATAGCTCACACCTGTAACCCTAACTACTTGGGAAGTCACACTTTGAGGTTAGCCCAGGCAGAAAAGTTTGAAATCTCCCTTCTCAACCTACAGCTACATAAAGTGGCATATGTCTATCAACTTAAACTAAATAGGAGGCAGACAAGTCATCCGTCTCCATGGAAGAAAGCTGATTGCTATGGCCCTTGCCATTAGGGAAGCCTAATATAGGTGGACCAAGGTCCAGGTGCACTTCTGGGTCTGAAGCAAGACCCTATCTCAGTACATCCAGGCACTGATGACTCATGCCTATAATCCTAGCTTACTCAGGAGGCTAAGATCCAAGGATTGTGATTTGAAGCCATCCCAGGCAGAAAAGTTCATGAGACTCTTATCTCCAATTAACTGGGGAAAAAAAGCATAACAGAGAGGTATGACTCAGGAGAAGAGTACCTATCTAGTTAGAAATCCAAGTTAGTACCCTGAGTTCAAACCCAGGAAGAAAGGAAGGAAGGAAGGAAGGAAGGAAGGAAGGAAGGAAGGAAGGAAGGAAGGAAGGAAGGAAGGAAG